CACCGTTCCCACTCCTACCCCTTTTGCGCCCACCGTTCGCCTCCATTCTTCACCACCCGATCCACTGCCGCTGCCGCTGCCCCCGTATTTCCACTTTAGCCTACTTGCGCTTCAAGAAACGCTGGTTTTCAGCTTCACTCGCTTGCTCTGCACTTTGCATAGCTCTTTTAATGAGAAGAGAAGAAAAAGAGATAAAGAAAGAAAGAGAGGAAAGAAGGTAGAAGTTATCCGTGTGTATGCTACTTCATACCTTTCATACAAACCCTCGTACTTACCGTTTATATTATCGTTTATGCAAACTCTCGTACTTACTGTTGTGTTTCATCGTATTTTTTGTATTCATTCATTCATTAAATGTTCTTTGTTCTCGTTTTGATTTTTCACATAGATTTACTCTAGTAGACTATTTTTAAACACTTATTTATATATCCCTCAAAACTTCTCAGATAACACCTATTGATTCATATATACGTTTTATATACGTTTTCTAAACGTATATAATTTTTTACAAACGTTTTAAGAAATCATATAAAAGCAACATGTGCTACTGGGGTTTTTCCACTTTCAACTCGAATAATCAAGCCTTCAATACAATCATATTCCTATTTAACTCTGTTTCTATAATGTCAAGACAATCCTACTTTATACCAGTTAACTCTTATTCTAGTCTGTCGTTTTCCACAGTAATCGAATTTGTTCTGAATTTATGCCTGCTTATAGTAGATTAAGTCCATTTCTCGATTATAGTTAACCTTGATTCTCTTAATTACATTGTCGTTACAATCTATCTATACAAAGAAAAGCAGTTATCCAATTTCGTTTAAACAGTTGTTCAGAAATTAAGGATGTTTTGGTATATTATCAACTAAAAATACATCTAACCAACAAATCAGCTAAATCAAGATATTATCAACTAATATCAACTAAAAAATTTTTGTCATAAAGACGTTCATAATTTCTGAAACTATAAAAAAACAAACAACAAATAATGTATAATGGTTTTGTGTAATGAAATAATCATATTTTGCTGCAGCAAATAACTTTTAAACGAGTAAATTCAAATGATTCTTTGCACGAATATTGATCAGAGTTTTGTTACTATATAAAGAATTTTAATTTAATTCATAATGCTATGATCTTATCAAATAAGTAGTAAAACGTGATTTTACATAAAAATCGAGGTAAACAAAAAAATTAAATAATTTTTAAATCAATAAGAGAATTGTGCTTTGAGATGACATATACATCCGTAAAAAGAATTCAGTCATTATTTTAACTGTCCAACTTAATACGCATGAATGAAATTGATGAATAAATAATAAAATAAAAGTAACAGCTATTATTTATTCTGACACGACAACATGTTACTAGTAATTTATTTAGTAAATTTTATCCTATTATCTTCTCCTCTCTCATCTTTTGTTTCTCCTCGCAACGAACAATACTATATATATATACTATGTATATTTACTTCTTTCGCCCCTCCCCCCCTTACTCTATTTTTGCGCATTCACGAGCAAATCCATTGATCCCATATCCATTCTCTTCAGAATATTTTTCGTTCAATTTTTACATATTTTTATCGTTTCGCCTACTCTACCAATATCAATTCATAGCTGCACCCTTTTCTCTTATATTTTCACTTTGGACTATAATTTCAGGTCGTTTGTTCCTCCCTTCCTAACAGTCTTCCGTTTCTATCTATTCTTTTTCTTATCTTCTTTTTCAATCACTGATTTTTTATCTTTATTTTTCTGTCCTATTGCTTTCGCTCTCTTTCTCTAGCCTCGCATTCCTCATCTTTTCGACATATATCGACATATAATATTAATTACAATTTATATTTTTTATTTAAATTTCTCTTGCTCGAAAAAATTTCGTATAACATTTATTTAGTTAACGGAACGGTTTCTTTCGATTTTTTATATATTTACAACGTCGCTTTTCATTTATATTTGCACGTCACTAATTTCCCGTTCATTACTATCTCATAATATCCTTTCACACATTTTTTCATCTGATAAATGCCGACTAGAAAAAGTTTCGTCCTTCTTTTCCTCTCAACCATTTTTTTGGTTCTCTTCCGAATTTATTATCACA